CGGAAATCAAGCGCAAACCCCATTTACAATACCACACCCTGAAGCCCCTGTACCTTACACCCTAGCCCCAAACTCTCCTGTCATAGTGAAGCTCAAAACACCTCCCTAAACCCTAAACCCTAAACCCAAAATCCTAGACCCTAAACCAACCCTAAACCCGGATTATGTATGCTTTTTTGTTTGCTGCTCCGACTCTGCGGTGCTTGGGGTCCCGGCCAGCGTAGTCATCATGAAATCTCGAGCGTTGAGGATTTTTTAGGTTTTGCTTTGGGGGTTTAGGGTTTAGGATTTTCGGGTTTAAAACCTCGGGATAAGGGTTGGAGTTCGGGATTCCTATTCTCGGGTGCTTAGAATTTTGAAGACCATGAATCGGGGCTCGACTGTACTTGGGTATAGTAAGTTTGCTTTCAGCAATCAGCCTTCGAACCCTGGCATGATGCCCAGGATGACAGCGAAGATGGGGTGACGCTTTTGCTTGGGTGGTTCTTGTGGGTGAGGGCACTGCAGTTTGGGGTTCTAAGCTATTCAGTCTTTAGGAAGATTTAGGGTCTAGGGTTTAGGGGGTTTAGGGTTTAGGTGTCGTTAGCCTCCATATCAAGGGTCCCTTGACTTCTCAACTACTCAGATTTTGATGCTCGAGCTCGTGTCTCCGAGGTTTGTAGTAAGAAGCTTACCGGTATCTGAGGCTCGGGGCCTGCGTTCGGGCTACTGGGGCTCTGTGGAAGCCTTGAAGCCCAGACAGCACCCTAAACCAAACCCCAATGGACTCTAACCCTAAACCCACAAGAACTAAACCCAAAAGCCCTAAACCCAAAAGCACTAAAGCCAAAAGCCCTAAACCCACAAGAACTAAAGCCAAAAGCCCCAAACCCAAGAGAACGAAAGCCAAAACCCCTCAAAGCTGGAACCCACCGAGCCCTTCAGGAAATGGCCAACAACGAGCCTTCCTCGAGTGCACGCTGCTGGGCACCTCTGGATGTCTTTATGAACTTCAAGTTTAGTATAGGGTTTAAGGCTTGTTTGAGTTTAAGGGTTTAGGATTTGAAGCAACTCGGCCCCAAGACTTCACATCTAGGGTTTAAGGCTTATCCAGTTTAAGTTGATTTAAGGTGTAGGATTCGAAGAAACTCGGCCCCAAGACCCCAACATCCTCAACTGGGTGTAGGTTTGATGAAAGTTGAGGGCACACCTTCGGTCCTGACCGGGTGTAGGGATTACGAGTAGGAAGCCTGAAGCCGAAAAGAAGGAATGAAGCAACTCCTATAGAGCGCTTTTTAATGATGCTTTCTGTGATTCCTTTAAGAGTCCCTTTAAGGGTTCTTCTTAAGAGCTTTCTTTGAGATTGCCTTTTTAATATGACCTAGTGAAGGTAGCCATACTATACCGTATGCTCCACTACCCACGAGGGTCAACTGTTGAAGGTTCCAGCTCTCTGACTACAGGAGCGGACTTTTCGGAGCTTCACTTTAAGTACTAGTAGTTCACTCGCGGCTTAGAGTTTGGATCATGTCCGAGGAGTTCTCGACACCCAATAGTCTTAAGGGTTTAGGGTTTAGGGTTTAGGGTTCAGGGTTTTCAGTCCGAGCACCCTCACCGGAAAGCCGTAGGCCGTTTCGAACTCGAGCCCTGGATACTCCTGGATAAACGCCTCCCTCTGCAAGCCCCGTACTCTTTACGGTGCGCCCTCGTGCGCCAAAGGGCAAGGGTCTCCGGCTCAAACCGTACATCCTGCTCTGCACAGAGACTGAAGAGTACAGGGAGCCGGACGGTAGACGCGGGCATAGAGCATGTAGTAACCTGGCGAAGCACCCACAGTGAACATCGAACGCCGTAAAGCCCGCAGGCTGGAAAATCAAGGAACTGAGTGTTGGCTTCGGGTTGAGGATTTTGGGCTGAGGGTCGCAAATTAAGAAATCAAAAGACTTGCAGCAGGAAGTACCGCTCGCAAGAGAACCCTGTGTAAAAATGCCATACATAGTGAAATAGATCCTCAGGGCCCGCAAATCTGAACTTCATAGTCACCTCAAGCCAACACCCTTCATATCAATAAAACCACTTGAACACTCGAACATGAGCTTCAAGTCTTAGACCCTATACCCCGAATCCTCACGCTGCTCCGAAAGAACACCCGAAGCTTGGGAAACCTCAACCGGAAACTCCTGGACCTTGAATCCCTAAACCCAAAGCCCTAAATCCGCTAATTAAGCCTTGAACTGAAACCCTAAAACATAATCCCGAAATCCACTAAGCCTTAAACTGAAATCCTAAACCCTAAGCCCTATATCCAAAACCCGAAACCCTGCGAAGCCCTGAGGTCTCAAATGGCAGGGACGGCCGAGAGTCAACCTGGATGTTCGGGGTTTAAAAATATGGGCTTATTGGACTTCGGTGTTTTAGGGTTTAGGGGGTTTCGGGTTGTAATATGGGCGTTAAGGACTTCGGTGTTTTAGGGTTTAGGGGGTTTCGGGTTGTAATATGGGCGTTATGAACTTCGGTGTTTTAGGGTTTAGGGTTTAGGGGGTGTGGGGTTTTCATATGGGCGTTAAGGATTTCGGTGTTTTAGGGTCTAGGGTTTAGGGGGTTTCGGATTTTGATATGGGCGTTAAGGACTTCAGTGTTTTAGGGTTTCGGGTTTTAATATGGGCTTATTGGCTTCGTGGTTGTAGAGGATTTGGGGTTTAGGGGGTTTCGAGTTTCGGGTGCCGCATTTGGAGTTCTTTAGGGTTCCGGGCTGGGGTTTAAGGCTTTAGGGTTTAGGGTTGACTTTGCGGTACATTATGCTAGCTATGATGAGGCTCTATTCAAGAAGTCACACTATTGACGGTGTTGGGTTTCGAGTTTGTTGGGGTTTCGGGCCGTTTGGGCTTCATGGTGTTGAACTGTTTTGAAGGTTTTTGAAGGTTTGGGATGTTCTATGCGGTTGAAGGCCTGGAGCTTTGGGTTTAGGGTTTTGGGGTTGAGGGGGGTATTTGCCGGCTTGGCCGTTTGCTTGGGGCCAAGTTGCCTGAGTTAGTACAGGCATTCTGTGATGATCACGCAAAATGCACTTCCAGAAATTCGCTTCCCAGTGTCAATTATAAAGGCCCCCATGCTCTTAAAAGGCTGTTCTTCCAGAAGACTCCCCCTAGCGTGGGTAAACAATCCTCCTTAATGTTAAACTGAAAGGAGTGTGCTTCGGCGCTGTGCTGTGTTGCTTTCGGACACCGTATATCCTAAACCCTCAGCCCCTAAACCTTGAACCCCCAAACCCTGAGCAGCGTCGCGAGCGGGAGAATTCCGGGCTCCACACGAAGAGCAGCAAAGCCTCAGAAGAAACTCGGATCAGGGATTAGGGACAAGGTGGTCCTGATTCCTCCAACTCTCCTGCATGCTGTTCAACCCCTAAACCTTGAATATTCAGTGATACACCACCTGCTTAAAGAAGTTTCTGATGTATGCAGAGGATCGAAATTGCCAGTACGTCGGATTCTGCGCAACCCCTCCGTCATCTTTCTGCTCCCTCCCGGACGCATACCTAGCCAGCGTTTCGATTAGGGATCGGGTCTAGGGTTAGGCTCGGACGAGGGTCTTAGTCGGACTCTCGCTAGCCAAAGGTTCTAAGCTTGGCTGTCTTCAACTTCCAACGCTCTTCTGGCACTCAAAAGGTTTTGGGTTCAGGGTGCCCTAAACCCCAAAACCCTAAACCCCACTCCTTCGAGACCACTGCCCTCAGCACCTGCATCCCGAACAGCCTTGACTCCCCAAGGCCGCCCAATCCATCTTGAGGGTTTAGGCTTTAGGGCTTAGCGGGTTTAGGGTTTAGGTTTCAGGGTTTCACCGTTTACGGGTTTAGGGTGCTAGATTACTAACTAGATTTACTAGATTACTAGATCTCAATACGCCCCAAAGGCACAAAGCCTCCCATACCACCAAAAGCCTCTCGCATGGCCAAACGCTGCAACCCTGAACCCTAAACCGCCAACACCCCGCAAACCCCCAAGCCCTAAACCCTAAACCCCCCTAAACCCCATAGACCCAAAACCTATACAACCACATCCCAAAACCCTAAATCCTGAACCCCACACCCCCAAACCCCCCAAAAAGCCCTAAACCCTGAACCCAAAACCCCCAAACCCCCCAAAAAGCCCTAAACCCTGAACCCAAAACCCCCAAACCCCCCCGAGGCTCCCCCGGGGTCCCCCGGCAAAATCTTCAAGTTTGCTTTGATAAGGCTGAGGTCCCTGGCCGATGCTGGGGTTTTTGCAAAGTGTAGGGTTCAGGCTTTAGGGTGTAAGGGTTTAGGGTTTATAGGGTTTTAGGGCTTATAGGGTTCATAGGGTTCATAGGGTTTATAGGGTTTAGGGGTTTAGGGGTTTAGGGGTTTAGGGTTTAGGGCGCAAGGGTTAAGGGCTCAGGGTTCGGTCAGAAGCCTTGGTTTAGGCAGGGTTTTGTGTTTAGTTCTCAAGCTTTAGGGCTTCAACGCTCCATTAAGCTTCGAATTGTCTGCAGGGGTCCTGGGAAGATTTATCTATTTGACTGTTGAGGGCTCTTTCTTCGGGTCCCATTCAAATTTGTTTATCAAGCGTCCGGCGCTCATCAGTCTGTGGTTTGGGGTTATAATTTGCAGGGGGTTTAGGGCCGAGGGCTCGAGGTCTAAGAATGCTTTGGGGTTGAATGCCCCAGCCAAAAAAAAGGCTAAACTTTTCAATTGTGGCAGGAATATAGCAGGCCCAGAATGTTAAAGGTTGCCTATTCAGCTGCTAAGTTCTTCCTTGGCGGCTCAGGGGTAATCGTAGGCAGCACTACCCGTGGAGCCGATTGTCATGTTATTCAGAATTACGGCTCCCCTCGTCTCAGTAACACACAGAACAAAAGTGAGTTATCTTACGGGAACAGAACACATCTCTAGGCACAAAAATCAAAAGCCATCGCAATGGATACCGCAACTTTGTGATTTTGCAACGATGCAAACCCTAAATCCTGAAGACCCAAAGCCCCCAAAAATGCTGTGCCAACCGGGCCTTGGACTTAGGCAGAAGAAGCAACAGACCTGCTCCCGGGTCTTCAAGCCTCAGGTGCTTAGGGCTTTGGGTTTGGAGGGTTTAGGTTAGAGGGCTTAGGGTTTAGAGACTTCAGGCGTCAGGTGCTCAGAGCTTAGGGTTTGGAGGGTTTAGGTGTTAGGGTTTAGGGTTTGGCGTCTTCAAGCCTCAAGTGCTTAGGGCTTTGGGTTTGGAGGGTTTAGGCTTTAGGGTTTAGAGACTTCAAGCCGCAGGTGCTTAGAGCTTAGGGTTTGGAGGGTTTAGGTGTTAGGGTTTAG